CTCAAACAGGATATAAAAAGATATGCAATGTTTCTAAGGATACTCTGGATATTCAAGGATTGAGGACTTAGAGACATGGATAAGTACTCTAAGGAAGAATGTCAATGGTTAATACTGCTTTAGTCACATACAGTCGATCGATGTACGCTATACGACTGTCTGCAGTTACGAAGTCTAGTAAACGCATTTATTTATTTATGAGTCCATAGCTTTATTTATGGGTCCATAAGGTATATGTCCACTTAATATGTCCAAAATGTGCGAACGGTATATAGTGATTTAAGTACATCTGGTGGTGCACACTATAACTATCTGACATTCCCATATTTCTACCGGTATTAAATCTAGATCTCCTAGTGTTTCATATATTTCACTGTGATCCTAATAAGGAATGCACAATTCTAGCTCTTTTCCAAATTAAGTACCATTAAGTATATTTTGTGAATGTTATAGTACGCATTTGCAAATCAACCTCCTCAACCTCAAAATCAAAACAGTTGTCCTAGTCTCAACATTTATATATCCAGCTCCATTCCTACATTCCCTACCGAATTTTGTACATTTCCTACACTAAAAATCATAAATTTTCTATAACTGTCCATTGTCTAACCCATACTTATATTTTATGTCAAATTGAATACCATTTAGTACATTTCGTGCAATTGTGTCAAGATTTCTAAATTTGCCCCTAAATTTAATACCTCTTAATACTTTTCGTACACTTATTGTACATATTTCCAGTACGACCTCTCTGTACTAAATTTCCACACTTTAGCACTGTTCTTACACTTAGTAAACATTTCCAAAACCCCCTCCTTACATTAACCTCATTTCTAAAAATTGATTTTGATACTAAAGCTCACGATCGTACTCTATCTTTTCGCAAAATTCAAAAGTGTACCAAATTTAGTGTATTTTACTACGTTTGTTTATTTTATTGTTCGAATTTCCAAAAAGAGTTTGGGTCGTCTCACCCTTACGCAAATTTCAGATCTGGAAAGCAAAATTGTACGACAGTTAGTACCATTAGAACAGTTCTTACACTTAGAACACTTTCCCACAAATCACTTATTTATATCAATCCTATTCCCCTAGCCTTAAGAAATTTCGAGAAGATGCCTCTATCCGTTCACATAATTTCAAGTGGAACCAAATTTAGTGAATTTTAGGAGTGTACTCTGGGTACACATATTGTTTGAATTTCCAACAATTCTTTGGCTGGTCTATCCTATACAACATCTTCATTCCAAATTTCAGAATTCCAGCTCTATCCATTCTCCAAATATAATAATTTGTTTTGTTAATACAATTTTTTAGGTTTTGAGTTTTGTTGCCTCCAAATTCCAGTTGGCATTCAACACCCAACCTCGATTGACAATTTTAATAGTTTCTTCAAAAGAATTTTCCATTGCAGATTTCGAATGCTGCTTTGACAGTTGTGTGTCAATTAGCCCACTTGCCATTCTAAATAATTTATGAATTGTAATAAATAACACATCTAATTAATAAATTTGCAATAAAGTCTTAACTTTATATATTTTTGTAACATTCAAACCAATAAACCAATAAGCGCCGCATAAAATGTAATATTTTATTAGCTGCTATAAGCCATGTTGTGTCTTGTAATTGCCACGCAACTAGACAACCACACAAGACGCCAAAACGCACTCGTTAATGCTGGCCAAAATAGGAAGTATGTTTGGCCAATAATTATTCATTGAAGTGTGCGTCTGGGAAATAATTAATTTTATTTAAAAAAAAAAAAACAAAAATGTCCAGAACATTTTTTTTTTGGGAATTAAGAAAAATATAAAACAAGTAGATTGAAATTTATTCGTAGGTCACTTTTTAAATGAGTCTTTAACTCCTCGTAAAGACAAGGGACAAGGGTCTGCACTATAGACAGATTTCGTAAAAAATGTGTAACTCCAATGTGTCATATTATTGGCCGCACCGACATCCATCCATTAAATGACATCGTTGACGATAAGTCGACTTTTATATACAAAATTGTGCCACTGTGACTATCTCTAAGTTCAGATCGCCGAAGGTATCAGCTTTTTGCACTATGTTTACATTTCCAATTAGTTTTGGGGTTTTTTGTTTTACTTCGCGAGGTGTTAAAACCTAGCTAAGAAAGCAAAACCAACAAAAAAAAAAGATAATAATAATAAAAAATATGTAACAACAACGTCTTAATGACGCTGCAATGGTAGAGTAATTTGCTACGTAAAGTGTTGATACGCCATACCCCTTCTTCCCAGGCATAGGAGGTGAACATTGTTTTGTTATGATTCCATTTTCATTTACCACCATTCATTCCGTTAATAATAGCTTTGAGTTTTTGTTTTGGTTTTTTATAAAAAAATCTCAATTGTTTCATTTTTACCAAATGTTAAAACAAATCAACATTGAATCGTGAGATTTGTAATGTTCGTTTCGTTCGGTTTTTATAAGAGTTTCGTTCGGTGTTTCCATCTCTTATACGTATTGTTATTTTTTCTTGCAATTGCTTATTTACTTTTGTTTACGAAAATGTAGTAACAAAACAATGAAAAAATGTTATTGTTGCTACTGAATGCCAGTTGCTGGCATTCGGAATGCAAAGGTATTGAAGGTAATACTTGTCATTCTTTATGTGGGTCATATTGAGAGTAAAGGGTGCTTAGATTATTATTTCACTGTCAGACTACACCCTTTAAATTACTTCGTTAAATAGAGTATAATTTTCTGCCAGACTAGGGAAGAGAGCATTATGTCTGTGTGCATATGTATGTAACATTAAGGTGACAAGATAGACCCATCGATTCTTTTGATAATCGTCATAGAATCCCTTTGTGTGTAGTTTTGCAGCCCTTTTGTCTATCCATGATTTTTGTTTAAAAAAATCGTACTTTTTGTCTGAATGAGAAAAAATTTTCTCTATGTATTTCTTTGGCCTAAGAACGAACCTTATTAAAAATCCTGGAAAATCGTTCGGAATTAAATATAGCAGCCATACATAACTTAATACCAAAAAGATACGAAAAGTACTAAAATGTATTCAAAATTGAATACTTTGTATTGACCAACGGAATAAGCTAGAATTTTGAAATTTGTAATGAGAGTCTTTGAGGGAGTGCAGGAATCAATGCGAGAAAGCAAGTTTGATATAGAAGGTTTTTTTTTAGAAATGTGTACTAAGGGTGCAAACTGTACAAAATGGTACTAAATTTGTGACAGTTTGGTTTAAGGTGATCGGTTGAAGCAGGAATTTCAAGGTTTTGTATTGGGATTTCTGTTTGTGGTAGATCTGAGAATTAAAGTTGGTTTTGGAAACGTGTTCGAAAATTAGTAAATTCTAAATTTCGTACAATTTGGTATCGGGTGAACAAATAGTGCTTGCTTGAAATTTTGTATTAGGGTCACTATTCATGTGTAGCCTGGACACATGGAAGGGGTTATGGAAATGTGCACGATAATTGTTCGAAAAGTACTAAGTGGTACTAAATTGGCTAGTGGGTGAAGGGATTGAGCTGGAATCCCGAAAATTTGATATAGGGGTCTCTATTGGTATCTCGGATTCATATTTGGAAGTAGCTTTGGAAACATTGTACGATAAGTACTAAATAGTACTACATTTGGTATTGGGTGAAGAAATGAAGCTGACATCCTAACATTTGATATGGATGCCACTATTGGTATATGAGGTTGAGATATAGGGATTTTTTTCGGATTGGGGTCATTGTTAGTTTCTAGGGTTTACATGTGCCAAGATATGCAGGACAAATTCAAGAAATCGGATGAACAATATATATGGGAGCTGTAGCTATATCTGACCCGATTTTCACCAAATTTGACATGCTTGTTTCTAAACTCAATTTAATCGTAGGTGCCACATTCCATCCTATTAGGGCTAATATTAAACGTTTGCTGCACAATATAAGGTAAATCGGACGAAGATATATATGGGAGCTATACCCAAATCAGAACCGATCTCGATGAAATTTAGCAAAGATATTTATGAGTTGTATTTGGTATTTTTCCCCAAATATAGTTGTTGCAGAGTGCATATCACGGCTGCGGAGGGAAAAAATAACAAATCGGATGAACAATATATATGGGAGCTATTATTTTCTACTTATTTTCAAGCCTAATCTGGTCGTATATGCAGAATTCCATAATATTTGGGCTAATATTACACGTTTGGTGCACAATAAAAGGCAAATCAGACGAAGATATATAGTGGACCTGTATCTAAATTTTGACCGATTATCTTCATTTTCAATAGGGTTCGTCCTTGGGTCAAACAAATTATTTGTGCAAAATTTCACCTGGATCGGACAATGGATTGACGGATGCAGATCATCAAAAGGAATTATGGGTCTATCTCGTTTCCTTGTGGTATCGAGTATCCTAAAAGAAGACATTCGACATGAATATCTATGTGGAAGTTTGGATTTATGACTATCTTCTAAGCGGGGAAATTTTGTATGTGTCTTTTTTTACAAATAAATATTGCTTCAGGTTTTCTCTAGACATAATCTAGTATTTTTCCATTATAAATCATCTTTCTATGCCAAAACCTATTTAAAACTGGTTAACATAAAGTTATATACGCCTGTATGATTCAATGGCATTCGGTGTCCAAAATAATTTTCCAATCAGGCTCATTTATGTTGCGTTTCAGGATATTTGTTTATTTCCACTTCCTCTTTGTCACTGGCCGATCGTTAATGATTTAAAAGTGTTCGCAAATTAAATGGCCAATTTTATAGGAAATTTTCGCAAAAGAAGTGCAATAAAATTTTGTTAACTCGCCATAATGCCATGGACGGGATGCATTCGTTTCTGTTTTTGATGGGCGGGTGCTATGATGCACTACACCCGTGCTCCCATCTATCGGTTGCTTGGGAGTGAGCTGCTGCACAACGGCGCATTAGTCGCATTGCTCTGCGCGTTGCGGCGCACGTTAGACTCATTGAAGTTGGCACTCTTATAAAACCAATGGTTTTCAGCAGCGGCCATTCAGTCAAATAGCAACTTTTGAACAATACGTTCGGTCGGTCGGTCGCATGAACTTACCAACGCTGGTCGCTTGAACGAGATCAGTGGTGGAGCGCTTGTTTCCAAAGACGGTAGCTTAAAAACTCTAATTCCGACAAAATAATAAAACCATAACACTCACAAAAATGTAAGAAAATAGCATCGTTAAAAAATAACTCTAAAAAAATAAGGAAACCCGAAAAAAAGTAAAAACAAAAATAAAACTGAAGTACATAAACCGTGTGTATGAAGTATGTGTTTATGATGTGGTTCAGAGTAAATGTTAATGGCCTGTTTATTGTTTGATAATATCTGTAGTGGACTGGATACCGAAATGTCCAAAACTGAAACTAAAAAAAATGTGGAAAAGAAATTTCGATTTCATAGATTTGCATCCGGTTTAAGAAACAGCGTCTCTGTGACACAGAAACCATGGAGAAATGTCAATAACGCCGAAAACGTTTGCCGGCAACCACCTGTTATGAGTGGAATCCATATTTTGTTAGCTGTCAAAATGAAAGCCGCCAAAAAAAGTAAAAGCGCAATATTTTCATTTTCAAGTTTCTTCGCAATTTCGTGTGGGAAGTGCTGCTAGCCGCCAGATGTGTTTGGTTGGGTGTGCAATGTTCGCACTTTACATGACTTGTTTAATCTGCACACGAAATTATAATATCGATGGTCCTGATTTGATATGTAAAGGATTTTAAGAGTATGAAAATAATGCACCGTAAATTATTTTTGAAATATTAAGGAAGTGAAATTTTGATTAAATCTCTGCTGGAAGTTTCATCTGTTGCTGTTGTTGTTTAATTCAAATTGCATTCACTGTGAATTTAGAGACTGAACTATGAAAATTGTTTTGGGCAAAAAATTATTTGATCAAGATATCCACATATAAATGAATACATGTAATGTTTATCTACAAACTGTCTGTGTTGATTATAGAAATATGAAAACTGCCTTTTACACAGTAAAAAAATGTAAACAGTGTAGAGAGCTCTATAGGACCTGAGATAAGATCGTATAAGAAAGTAAAACAATTAAAAAAGCAGCTAAGTTCGACCGGGACTTTTAATACCCCCCACCATTTGGAACGAATTTGGAAATTTTCAAAAAATAAAATCCTTAAAAAATTATTTTAAAATTTTAAACTATTCTATTCTATTTAATGACGCTAAAATCATCAAAATACCGAATATTGGGAGGTACCGTTTTATGGGGGCTATACGAAGACTTGAATCTGCACAGACAATTTTCTGTCATAGGCTGTCCATTTCGAACTTCAAATATCAAATTTGAAACATTTCCGTTGAATATTGTCGGCAAAATCATCAAAATACCGAATATTGGGAGGTACCGTTATATGGGGGCTATACGAAGACGAGAACCTGCACAGACAATTTTCTGTCATAGGCTGTATTATCCATTTCGAACTTCAAATACCAAAGTTGAAACAATTCCGTTGAATATTGTCGCTAAAATCATCAAAATACCGAATATTGGGAGGTGCGTTATATGGGGGCCATATGAAAACGTGAACCTGCGCAAACAATTTTCTGTCATAGGCTGTAGTATCCATTTCGAACTTTTAAATACCAAATTTGAAACAATTCCGGTTAATAATGTCGCTAAAATCATCAAAATACCGAATATCGGTAGGTACCGTTATATGGCGGCTATATGAAAACGTGGACCTACATTGCCCATTTACGAACTTAACCTGCCTACTGGAAAAATAAACATGTGTGCAAAATTTTAGCCTTCTATCTCAATTCGTTCGAAAGATAGCGTGATTACAACAGACAGACAGACGGACAAGGCTAAATCGACTTAGAATTTTAAGCTGATCAAGAATATATATACATTGTTGGGTCTGACATGAGTATTTTGAAATTACAAACGAAATGACAAAGTATGGTGGAGGGTATAAAAAGGGGTATTAAAAATTCTAATTTAAAAAAAAATATTAAAATCGTTGACTAACATGGCAGATTTCCTATAAGGAAAGGTAATATAAAATGCCCTTGTGGAAGGTACTCAATTTCTTAAGATTTTTTACTTCAATGACCAGTAAACTGAAGTAGAAGCTATCATTTACGTTGAAGATTTGGAATTGAGTTATGGTGGAGGCATTGGAAATGTGTACTATAATGGTTCGAAAAGTACTAAATGTAACCAAGCACGAAATTTCATATTAAGGTCTATTTGCGTACTATAGCTATGCGAACTAAATTTGGTATTGGATATTTGGTATTTGATACTCCTGAAATTTGATATAGATGTCAATGTTGGTATCTGGTGGTGGTTTTGCAAATGCGTGCTATAATTGTTCGAAAAGTACTAAATGGTACTAATTGTACCCTCAGTCATATGGCTACAAATGGTATATTATTTGATACGAACAAAATGTGTCTCATCGAATTATTGGGTCTCTTGGACCAAATCCGTTTCTGGCTAGTGCGAACGATAACTCTTGAAGTGGGTATCCGATTTGATCCAAACTTGGTACATCGTAATATATTTGTCAAACCTAGATCGAGTTCGGAGATGGGCAATATCAAAAGGACGAAATTTTCAAAAAATATATTTTCTGCACAGAAAGAGAAAGGATAATCCAATTTTGCTCTAACAATAATATTTGCCTTAGTTCTAGGCCATGTGCGAAAATGGACAATATCGGTCCACTCCATCAAGTACCTCCCCCAAAAAAGGTCAACATTTTGAATAATTATAATTCTTATAAAATGTGATGTAAGAGTCCGATGCCTATAAATTACACACATGGCAATATTTTTATTAACACAAGGTCTGGTGTTAAGTGGGAATATATCGGTTCACTCCTTTTGGTACCTCACCTACAAAGGGTCAACATTTTTCATATCCATGAAGCTCATAGAACGCGAAGTTAACATCCAATTCCATTTAGGCTTTGTATATTCAATAGTTCCATCAACACAGGATCTGTTATTAAGATGGGAGGGATCGGACCATTTCTTCTGGAACCTCACCCCATAGATTTCAAGATTTTGAAAAACTGAACGCTCAAAAAAAGCGAAATAAGCATTTAACTCTCTTCAAGTCAGAGATCCTGTACAACTTCCTATATCTAAATATTTTTCTGACCAAAAATCTGAGATGAATATGGAATTTATGATTTCGTATAAAATTTGATATTTATTGTAATTTTGCCCATATCAATATTTTTGTCCGTATTAGATGAAGTATGAGAATAGAATACTTCCGTAGAACGTATCTGGTTTTGCGGTCGATTTTCGGTCAATTTTACTTATTTGTTTATTTCCAGCGCACAATGGCCACCAAAATCTCCGGATACCAATCCGTTGGACTATTGTATCTGGAAAATTTTTGGAAAGCTAGCTAGGCACTAAAAAATACCAAATTGTCGATCACCTCTACCAAGCGCTTAGCCGGAAATGGGCCAAAATTCCGCAGAGCAACATTCGGGCACGGTTTCGTTGGCCGTTTGCCGAACAAATCTAAGCCTATTCTAAAATTTGGTCCTATTTCCGACATTTTTGGCTTTCGTTCAATAAGATTAAAAAAAAAAAAATGTAAAAATTATGGCGTTTGACTTTGTTGCAGTTTTTTTGTTATCTCACCCTTTATATGTTTCATCCGATTTGGTGTTTTAGTTCCTCACATTCGTAATATGCATTCGTCAAAAATGATATTTGGTACCAGATATCAGATACAGCCCAGAAATACCTCTGCCAGATTTAATCAAGATCGGTTCAGATTTGGATATAGTTCCCACATATATCTTCAATCGATATCTGGTTAATTGTGCACCAAATGACCAATATCAGTCCAAAAGTCTTGAATTTTGGTACATCCGACCGAAATCAGTTAAGAAGCAAGTACATCGAATTCGGAGAAAATCGGTTTAGATATAGCTACAGCTCCCATATATAGGTTTTATCCGATTTGGTGTTTTAGTTCCTCACATTCGTAATATGCATTCGACAACAATGATATTTGATATCATATATCTTATAGAGCTCAGAGAACGGTAAATAGTTGGATAAAGCTCCCATATATAACCTTAATCCGATTTTAGGTTTATTGTGCAAAAAATGGTTAATATCAGCCCAAATGGAGTGAATTTCGGGACGTAGAATTCGGAATGTGGAATTCGGCTCCGATACATATTTGGTTTTTAATATAATCCTTCTCGAAGTGATATCATGCATTCTACAGCAATGTTATTTGGTGTAAAATATTAAAATGTCTCCGTCAAATTTAGTGAATATCGGTTCAGAATTGGATATGCCTCCCATATATTAGTTTCCTCTGACACCAAACTATAACTGCTCTAAACCCAAATGTTGATATGTGGCTTGATCTACTTCAAATAAATTATTGTGTTACGGGAGCTCTACTAAATATGCACAGTGGTCCTCGTCCGACTTTTACTTACTAGTTACTATTGAAGAAGATCTGTAAAAAACAATAATTTTGAAAACTACTATTTACCGTTGATTAAAAACTATTGTCGAAATACTTCAATTAGTAGGTCATTTTCTATTAACCATGACATTGACCACAATGTCAACTTTCTTCTGCCAAGAAAACAACCCACAAAATTAATGCTTCACTAACGGCAAAACAGAGGGCCTGTCTCAAGAAAGAAACGTGTGCTTTTAAAAACAATTGTTAACAAAAGTTGATTAATTAAACATTATTGCAAGCGATTTGTTATTTGACCAACAAAAATTGAAATGAAAATAAATTTCAAACTAAAATCATTCGAGATTTATTCAGGTGGACATATGCACATTACCCTCCCCACAGAGAGCATTTTTAATGAATGAATATGCATGGCTTGCGAAAATCAGTTTCGCTCACACCGCAATGGGGCCACCACTTGGAGCCCATTCATCAAAGTGTGAATCAGCAGAGATGGCATAGAATTGATTTGGTGTTAATTAAATGGTCTATTTCATTGTTAGCCAAAATGTGTTACCATTCTTTTTTATTGTTTCACTTTTTTGTACAACATATCATTGTTGTTGTTGCTGTTGTTACTCTACTTGTTCATACAACAAATATGTTCAAGCTGTCGTTCTTTTTTTTAAAAGCTACTGTTATATTTAAATCTTGATATGAGCCGACAAAAAAATTTTGTTC